TGTGGTTGTCAGAAATACAGGTGCATGAACTTACCACTTTATTAAGCCCCTTCACCTCAACAGTTGCTAAGACTAGGCACTGGGGAGGGGGGCGAAGAAAATGTTTTTCAAGATGCATTAAAACTTTGTGGAGAATCAGAGTGGAATACTGGAAGAAATGCATGATGTAAACTCTTAACCAACTAATAGCCGACTTTCTGACATGTTGTCTCCTACACTTTGGTATATACTGAAAACAATGGCCTGCAGTCTGATAGCGAATAAAGTTGGGTTTATGCACACTGTAATAGAAACAGTACTGTAATATAAATTACAGCATTTGGGCCTGCAAATGAACAGGGAGTTGAGAAAGAAGCTGCCTTACTGCTCTAGTCGTGTTAGTTGGTTAAGAGCAGTATCTCTGCTGCTGGACATTGTTCAGTATTGCACAATCCAGACAAGCATTTTGAAATCAGTCCGAGTCTTTTCACTAATTTCTGCCAGGCAGTACACAGACCCAAAGCCTAGGGCAAGTTAAAGAGAATACTTAAGTTTGAGCACCCACTATGTAAAGAGAGGGGCTTAACAATTAACAAGCACTATGACTAATAGAAACAACTTGATACATTTCAGAATCCCACACTGAACATACTAAGTGGGATCACATCAGCTCTTTTCCAATCTTACTACTGTATTTAATAGTAAAAGTCCAAGTCCTCATTTAAAATTTCTTCCAAACGTTAACAAATATACAGAAGTATGAAAAACTGAGTTCTAAAACTCTAGCTATGATTGGCTATTATAGATCACTTTTCTATATCCCCACCATCCTTGTAACACATTACTTTTCAAGAATCACACCAACATGAGGCACTGAAGACCTTAAAGTATCGTGCTAACTCAGTTTATTGTTTTGAAGAGTCCACCGATTTACGAGGCAACAGGACATTTCTGAATAGTCTGGCCTAGCACATGCATTGCAGTTAATTCCCAAATAAAAGCTACAGAACATTTGTTTCAATGCAAGCATCAGTTTGCATGTAAAACCACACAAAGGTGCTAATCTTCCTTTTCCTTGTTCAAAGACTGCTAGAGGTTTTGGAAGAGAAAAAGAAAAGGGTGGGGGGGGTGGCGTGTTTTTAAATGCACTTTTCCAGGGCAGCTAAACAATTTACCTCAGGAGCATTGCTTACAGCGAGAAAGCAGTGCACCAGTTTAGGCCCTCTTTACCACTCCCCCCTCCCCCAACATACCAATGCACTAGAGTCTTTTGGGAGACTTCTTGCACTGTTACTCATGCTTTGCTGGCAGCACTGCCAGCGCACAAAACAGCTTGAATTAACACCAGTGCAACTGTATTTAATGTGGAACAGCTGCTGCAGAACTTTCAGGATTCATCCCCCAACCAGGAAACACCAAACTGCACTGCTGCGACTCGCAATGAGCTGCTATTCACACAGGAGATTGTACAGGAGATGCAAGTACTGTCTGAGAAAATACAGCTGCCCAAATGAGACATTAGTTGATTGCCAAATCTCTTATCTCCTTTGGATAGTCAAGGGAGAGGGGAGTGGTTAAAAAAAAAAAAAACCCCAAAAAGCCACACACCTACTCATTTTCTCCTGTACTACCCATTAGTAATACATGTATTTTATTATGGGGCAGGGGGAGGTTGTCGTTTTGGGTTTTTTTTCAATAGCCAGTTAGCATAAAACTGGATTGGCTCAGGTAGGCAGCAGTAGCTTAAGAAGTTTAAACAGTAGGACTTATTTTTAGCCAAACAACACGGCGGGGGAGAAAGAGTGAGCACTCAAGAACTCATTTTTTATATGCAAGTAAATTACTATAGCACCTAGAGCTCCAGTCAGACTTATGGTGCTGGGTACTGTACAAAACAAGAAACGAGTCAAGTTTCTTCTGAAAGAAAAGCTTGTTAAAAAGAGCAGAAACAGCAATTCTGAGTAAACAAGGCAGAGAGAATAATGTGTAGGAACAGGTTTGCATCATCCACTTTAGAGATTAGATTGCATTGTCCTATCACTTATTTGTTTAGTTTTATGCTAAAAGTCAGTCCAAGGTTTGTTACACAAACACATGGCACAGTATTACATTCTACCTTGTATTTATAGAAAGTACTGTGGCAATCCGGACAGTACAAAGATGCCATAAAGTTAACATTTATCAGGCTGACAGAAGTAGAAATAAGCCTTCCAAATCATGCCAAGTGTATTCCAAGAGATTCTGGAAAGGACCCCATTATAAAAAGTTAACATTAAAAAAAAAAAATCCTTCCTGAATTAATGAAATGTAGGGTCCACAGGCCCCTGCATACTTCATTGTGAAAGTTATCTGCAAGGATGTAGGCTACCCAAATCCCCAAGGCCCAGAGGTGACAGAATAAAGCTAGACAATTAGGAAAGCACGACTTTAAAAGCTAATACATCAACTGATGGAATGCTAGGATGGAAGCCTGTATTCCCATTGGAGGAAATGCATTTGAAACAAAAGCTAGGTCTTAGTTGCATTTCATTCCCCACCACCACCCTTTATCCTATGCAAGCTTAAAAGAAAAAAAAAAACAAAAACAAAAACCATGAGGCCAGTATTAGTATACCTCCACAAGCGTCATTGATAAAAGACAATTAACTGGATTTTCCATTTCAGATAACTAAAAGGTACAGAAAGCAAAAAGGTTTATTCCCCTCTTCCTTTCCAAGAAAGCTTGACATAATATCTAACTTGCACTAGTACTTTGGAACCTTCTGGAACACCAGTTATTAGTTCTGGCAGCTGACCAGTGATTTCTACAGGAATGGAGCCATTTTGCAGTTCAAAACCTGGTTAATCTGTACCTAGCCACATTTCTGATGAGGGAAAGCTAATAAAAAAGAAGCACCACCTTGCAGGCATGGTCTCAATAGTTTGATTTTTTTTTTCCAAAAATTTTTATTGGGAGAACTACAAAACATTTACAGTACAAAGTTTACAGTCTCACACTCAATTTGTAGTGAACTGACTCCCGAAAATATATTACAACTCAAGTTGACTTATCCTTTAGTTACATTCAAAGCATATTTCTGTTAAAGTAGTCAAAAAAAAAAAAAAGTACATAGTGCTCAATCTGTACCTATGTACAAAACAAAAAAACCCTAGACTACTGCTCATTCATCCACCGTCCAGGAAAGATTTGGAACCCTCCCCTCCCCCGGACTTTCTACACAAGGAAAAAAAATAATAATTACAAAGTTTTGGAATTTAAGTTCAACAAGATATGTTCACGTACTGTATAAAGTTTCAGATCCAAAGGTGGCCTCCTTGCTTATTTAAAAAAATAAGTGGTGAAGTTGTTGTAGTTAAAACCCATCCCTACATTCAAATCATCATGTCAAGCATTAAGAAAAAATACTTTTTTGGTTGAGGAAGATTTAAGGCAAGCGTGGACCCTTGAGAAGGCACTGTGAGACGTAATACTGGGACCCCCAATTATTGCTACATACTTTGAGACTATTATCACAGTGTGATTGGTGGAGTTAGGCAACAAAAATACTTTTTTGGTTATATTCCAAACGAGTTTGATTTACATTTGCCACTTTGAAGTCTGATTGCAAAGTAGTTCTGTTTTCATTAAAAAAAAAAAGGAGACAAAACAAACAAACTTGGACGGGCTACAACCATTTTACATTCTAGAAAACCCATAGAAAAAAAATCCTCAAACTACTTCCACAGCATCGAGACCGATTTCTATCAAGAAACCATGCAATCTTTCAAAAATTTTCGTAAACAAGGAAAGAAATTAATGAAATAAATATTACATACAATCTCTTAAATTAAGATTTTACTCATTTACAATAAAATAACCAAGTGAAGTTACAAAAAGGCATATATTACTGTGAAAAGAACACACACTCCACATTTCGCCGATTAATAATGGCAATCATAATTTAAACATAATAAAAGAATATATATCTATTGCTTTTCATCATACCCGATAAATACAGTATGAACAAATTACCAATGTATACTTTTCACAAGATAATAAATAAGTTAAATAGTTTCATATTGAGTTGTGCAGTGACTCATGCAGTTCAACTCAGAAAACAGCTAAAAAATTAAAAAACAAAACAAAAAATCAGCAGTTATTCTCCAACAATGACAAAACTAACTCAGTTGAGTGCTTCCAAATAAAGCAAACAACAACAACAACATTGTTCTAAGCCAAACCTCCACTAAGTGGTGGCAATGGAACCAATATTAAACTTTGGAATGAAAAGTTTTAGCATTTGTTATAATATATATAGATATATATAGATATATTTATATATATAAAAAAGGGCTGTTATCAAGGCATATTCTTGGCAGGATGTTGGATTCTTCTTTTAAAAGCTTATACATTTCATATGGTGTGTGTTTTCATTTTGAACTGGACTGAAAGGCCAGAAAGGAAGAAAAAACAACCCCAAACAACTCCTCCCCCCCACTACTTAATAATCAATTGTTCCCCCCCTCCCATGTATAAAAAAAAATTTGGAGGAGCTGGAAAGGCAGAGTTCAGGCCCCTCTGGATTGATTGTTGCTTTCTGGGGGTGTCTTTCCCCCCTCCCTTCTGCTAATGCTTCTTGTAAAAGAACAAAACAAACACAAACACACAGATGGAATGGCTGCTGCTGCTGGTGCTTAGTCTCCAAGAGGAACAACGAGGAAAGAAAAAAAAAAGAGACAATCCCCTTCTTCCAATGTCTCTCTCTCAAAAAAAAAACAAAAAACAAAAAACAAAAAAAAACCAGGTTTGTTCTGTGCCTCACCGTTTCACCCTTTTGCAGAGGAAGAGGAAAAAGAAAAAAAAAAGACTGAAGTCTTTTTGTTCGTCTCGCGACATAAAACGTGGGTTTGTTTCCCCGCCCTCCCTCCTCCTCTCTTCCACCCCTCTGCCTTTTAATTTAGTTGCTCAGCAATTAAACCAGAAAAGGGGGAGGGGGGGGGTGAAGAGAGAAAAATGGAAACACCCTGAAGCAGAGAAGAAATAAAAAAGGAGAGAGAGAAAACACCCCCCCCCCTCCCCTTCAGAGCCCAGAGGGACCGCGTGTGCGAGCTTGGCTGTTTCCCGGGAGGCGGCGGCGGCGGCAGTCCGTGCGTCGCCCCCTGCCCTGCTCCTCAGTCGTCCGAGATGGAGAGGCGGCTGAAGATGGGCAGGCGCCTGCCTGAGTCCAGGCTGGGCGACTCGGAGCCGCTGAGGCTGCCGGAGCTGAGCGAACCGCTCAGGTAGCTGTCGCGGTCGGAGCCGAGCGAGTCCGGAGGGCTGGGCGGCGCGTCGAAAACGGGCGAGTCGGGCAGGCGGCGGCGCAGCGGCTGGAAGCTGAAGGGCGGCGAGGCGGGCGGCGCTGGGCAGGGGCAGCTGCCCGCGGGCCCGGGGGGTGCCGG